AACGCATCTGTGGTCCTCAAAAACAGCTCTACCATTTCAAAGTAATTATAAATACGTTTTCTACTTAAATTCTAAAAAAAATATTAGTAGAACATTCTTTCTAGGGCCTTTTGTGTTCCGACACATCTTACAGTATATGCCAACAATGCAAGGCCCTGATCATTCTTTTGCCCATGCTATTTCTCAGGGTTATTTATGCAGCTCATAAGCTACCCCAACTCTTCTTTGTTTTTAGTGGCTCCCAGGCATCCAAACTATGACAGTTCCCTCAGCTCTCCGAATGAGGTAAGATAGAAACCAGTCCCTTGGGCCACCCTCCAAAGAGCCAGAACAGAGGATGCATGCTCCAATTTTTTCTTTCTCCCAAGAAAGAATTCATAAGCCAGGACATTGTCACCTAGCTCTGAGCTGTGCCCACTTGGGGGAAGGGCTGACATGACCCCTATGGTCTGAAGTTTGTATTCCCCCAAAATTCTTACATTTAAACCTAGCCCCCAAGGTGATGGCATTAAAAGGTGAGGACTTGGGAGTGATTAGGTAATGAGAGTTCTGCCCTCATGAATGGGGTTAGTGCCCTTATAAGAAAAGGCTAGAGGGAGCCTATTTGCCCCATCTACCAAAAGAGGACACATAGAACGCACCATATCTATAAAGTAGAGAAAAGTTTTCACTCTATGCCAAATCTGCTATTGCCTTGACCTTGGACTTCTCAGCCTTCGGAACTGTGAGCAATGAATTTCTGTTGTTTATAAATTACTCAGTTTAAGGTATTTTGTTATAGCAGCCTGACTGGACTAAGAAATTGTGTAAAGTGAAATTGTACTTCTTACCCATTTCAATGTAGCAGTTTTGGCTTTTAGCTCACCTGGGGTACTGCAACTTTTTAACTTGATTCTAGAATTCTCATAAGGATATGTTGATCCATATATAATTGTTAATCAGCATTTCTGTAGGGGAACAGGGCTAGTACTTCCAATTCTGCCATCTTTCTGATGTCACTCCTAACCCAGAATTTTAAATCCAGTGGAAATGTCCTTCAAAAATAAGAGTGAAATAAAGACATTTTCTATTAAATGAAAACTGAAAAATACTTCTCCAGAAGACTTGCACCTGCATGGAAAACCAACCAACCAAACCAAACCAAAACCAAACCCTAAAGAAAAACAAAAAATCTTCAGACCGGAGGGAGGTGAGGCTGGAAACTCAGATCTACAAGAAGGAATGAAGAGCATCAGAATGGTGAATATGTATGTGAATATAAAAGCCTTGCTTTTTAGTTAATTTTAAAAAACAAGGGATCATTTAAAGCAAAAATAGTATCATTTTAAGCTGGCAGTTACAACATACAGAGAAGTAAAATATATAAGAATAGTACTACAAAAGATGGGTGTATTAGTCTGTTATCATGCTGCTATGAAGAAATACCCAAGACCAGGTAATTTATAAAGAAAGGAGGTTTAATTGACTCACAGTTCTGCATGGCTGGGGAGACCTCAGGAAACTTACAATCATGGCAGAAGGAGAAGCAACATCTTCTTCACATGGTGGCAGGAGAGAGAAGAGAACAGAGTGAAGGGGAAAACTCCTTATAAAACCTCAGATCTCATGAGACCTTAGTATCATGAGAATAGCACGGAGAAAACCACCCCATGATTCAATTACCTCCCACTGGGCCCCTCCCACCACATGTAGGGGATTATGGGAACTACAATTCAAGATGACATTTGGGTAGGGACACAGCGAAACCATATCAATGGGCAAGAGCAAAGGAATAATAGTCTTGTAAGTTTCTGTCTATATGTGAAATGGAAAGTGTTAAATATGCAACTAAGACTAAAATGTGAAGTGATACAATATTATTTCCAATTAGGCTGTGATAAATTAAAGATGGGTACTGTAATTACTGTAACAGTCATCAGATTCCTGTCTATTTCTACTGCAGCACTTACTTATTCAGAAATGGGTTTATTTTTAAGTCTATAAAGCATAAGTGACTCTACATTTGCATGTTTCTTCAAATGCCCTGGCCTGGAATGATACCTAGCAATGTGTTTACATGGTTCATAAACTTGCAAAATTTGACGGGAAAAAATGGATATTTTAGCAACAGGTGTTTAAACCACTGTTTGTTTGTTTCCATTTCTGACTCCCCATCTCTTATTTTTCTCTTGTTGAGTGGCACTGAAATAACAACAGAGAATTTTAGCATCTGGTAAGAGGACACTATCTTAGAAATAAATCATTTTAACTACAATTTGAAAAGATATTTTGGCATGATTTAAGCAATAAATGCTAAATTACAAAATGAAATAATTTATTAAAGAACTGAGAGCAAATTTAAATTTAAAAATTAGTGGAGGCTGGGCATGGTGGCTCATGCCTGTAATCCCAGCACATTGGAAGGCCAAGGTGGGCAGATCACCTGAGGTCAGGAGTTTGAGACCAGCCTGGCCAACATGGCAAAACCCTGTCTCTACTAAAAATACAAAATTAACTGGGCGTGGTGGCACATGCCTGTAATCCCAGATACTCAAGGTATGAGAATCGCTTGAACCCGGGAGGCAGAGGTTGCAATGAGCTGAGATCGAGACACTGCACTCCATCCTGGGAAATAGAGCAAGACTCCTTCCCCACCCCCTGCCAAAAAAGTTCATGGAATGAGAAACAAAAGAAAGATAATAAAATCAATGGAAATTATTCTGACATCAGGAAGCAAATTATAACAAAAGAAACAATGTCAAATTATATGAAATCAGCAACTCATTAAGAAAAAAAGCTAAACTTTGAATATGGTAAAAAATAGGCTCTTGGATTAATTCTCTAGTGAAGAAAAGTGAATCACTGAACACATTGAAAAGAGATTTAAATTTCTTGCACATTTGACACAAAATACCGATATTGACAAAAACAACATAATATGCCATTGGCAATGAGGACATCTAAGACCAACTAGTTAATGTGTCATCAACACAGAGATTCTCAGATTAGTCCCCACATAAAAAAATTTTAATGTCCTAAAATCTTGTAGGTCATAATTGAAAGAAACTTGATAGAAGTTTACTCAAATGTCAACAATTTTAAAAAGCTTTTGATCAACTATGCTAGAGGAAAGGCTACATTAACTTTTTATTCTTTCTAGAAAAATTTAAATTATGAAATTAACGTATGAAGAAGCAGTCCAAGAACATAAAGCCAACAAATTAGGGGAGAGTTACTATAGGTGTCAGGCAGTTAAATAATAAAAATATTTTGTTATTTTTCTGATTTTTGTTTGTGATGGTTGGGAGACTTTAAAATCTGTAGTATGGCCGAGTGTGGTGACAGCAGCCCACACCTTTAATCCCAGCACTTTAGGAGGCAGAAGCAAGAGGATTGCTTGAACCCAGGAGTTTGAGGCTGCAGTGAGCTATGCTCACACCACTGCACCCCAGCTTGGTTGACAGAATGAGACCCCATCTCAAAAAAAAATTGTAATGTGATATAAAGAATGTATTTTCCATTCTATTTTTATTATTTATTATTATTATTTTTTGAGATGGGGTGTCACTCTGTCACCCATGCTGGAGTGCAGTGGCACAATCTCAGCTCACTGCAACCTCCACCTCCCAGGCTCAAACAATCCTCCCACCTCAGACCCACAGGCATGTGCCACCATGCCTGGCTAATTTTTGTATTTTTGGTAGAGATGGGGTTTCACCATGTTGCCCAGGCTGGTCTTGAACTCCTGAGCTAATGCAATCTGCCTGCCTCAGTCTCCCAATGTGCTAGGATTACAGGCGTGAACCACCATGCCTGGCCCATTTTCCATGCTAAATCTCCATTTTTTTTCTTTTTCCTTCTTTCTTTTCTTTTTTTTTAATTTATATATATATTTTTAATTTTGGAGACTGTGTCTCAGTCTGTCACTCAAGCTAGAGTGGAGTGGCATGATCATGGCTACTACAACTGCTGATTCTCCCTGCCCAGCCTCCCCAGTAGCTGAGACTAATAGCATGAGTCACTGTGCCTGGCTAATATTTTTTATTTTTTGTAGAGACAGAGTCTTACTATGTCACCCAGGCTTGTCTTGAACTCCTGGACTCAAGAGATCTTCCTATCTTGGCCTCCCAAAGTGTTGGGATTACAGGTGTGAGCTATTACACCTGACCTAAATCTCCATTTTCATACCTATGTTTGTACTTGTAATTTTGAATTCTTTTTCTCAAGTAGGGTCTCTTGAATTGTATAAACTGGATCTCCCTCTGTCTGTATTCCTCATTACATTATAAACCCCATGAGGATGAGGACCTTGTGTCCTTCATTATTATATCCAGCAAGCCCTTGGCACAAAAATAGCATTCAATGGAAATCTATATATGGATTTCCTATATATGGAATGAATGAATTGTAAAAAATCAATTCAACCTCTTAACATGTATTATCTGTCTTCTCGATTTCTATTGCTACTGCCTTGATTCAGGCCCTCACTCTCTCTACCCTGGATTCTTGTAGTAGTCTCCTAGCTAGTCTCCCTGATTGTAGACTCATTTCCTTACAGTCCATCCCCACATGGCTGCCAATGTAACATTTCTAGATGTAAATTTGATCAGATTGCTCAAATTCCTTGGTTAGGGATCCAAAAAAAGTAAGAGCTGGTGCCCCTGCCACATATTCCACTCTCCAGTCATGCTGATCAGCCCAGTTCTGTGGATGTACCAAAGGATCTCACCCCAGTTCTGCTTTTGTACATTTGATTCTCTCTCCCAGAAATTTATTTCCTTTGCTCCTTTTCCAGTGCACACTGGCAGATTCCTGCTGCTTCTTGTTTTGCCCCATTAGTCTTCCTCTCTCTTCCATGCCACGAATTCAAACTAATGCATACATTTATTTCCTACATACGTACTTAGCATTTTATATGTTCCAGAGACTATCCTCATCGATTTACAAGCACTGATTTTATTTTACTTCATTTCACATGCATCAGTTTTACGCAGTTACTTGTTTACACGCTCTTCTTCTAGACTTTGGGATTCCAGAAGACAGAGGTTTGAGAGTAAAAAACAAAATAACAAGACCACAACAAAAACAACTCTGTATTCTCGTCCCCACCATTACCATCTCCCCTTTGTGATGTCAAAGAGACCAGAGGAAGTGGACAGACTAGGAGAAGCATAGGTAAGTATTAGAGACAGAAAAAGTATGAAGTCTCTTCTGTGAGGACTAACAATAGTGATGCCATTTTACAACCTTGATGACTGTGTTCTCAAGAAACAAAGCAAATGCTAACCCTGCCCTCAGCTTCAACAGAGCGTAACAGCCCTAACCGCAACAGAGCCCAATGACCCTAACCACATCTGTCCCCAGTTGGAAAGTCTGCAAACAGTTCCAACTGGCCAGCACTTCCCCAACCCCTCCCCAATAGGAAGTTTATTATAAAAGCCTCAGCTTGTAAGCGATCAGAGTATCAGCCAGATTCCTGACTGGAACTCTTCGCAGGCTTATTCCTGTGAATAAACCTGTTTGGCCGTGGAATTGCCTCCTGTTACTCGCTCTCTTCCTTTATATCTTCCTAACATCTTCCAGCTCTAATGTTTTGCGTCTCGATGACCATCTAGCTCCTAAATGCTGGGGGCCGCTCCCCATAGAAATCCCTCGCCGCATTTCTCCGCCTCGTAACCAGTGAGGCTGGGATTTTTGGACCCGGGTTTTGCAATAAGGGAGTCACCAAGATGCAGCCACCTCTGGAATTCCTAGAAAGGAAAGAGTTGCCTGGCTTCAGCCAGTGGGCTCAGAACGGCTGACGCATTTCCGGCCTTTGCGGTTGATCGGTCATTGGGGTGCTGCAGCCCCGCCACCTGTTCCGTAGCTCCCCGGTGCCCCGAAAGTGAGTCTTGGTCCCTGGTCGCGATCCGCCAGGCTCCCGGAACATTTCAGGTCTGTGTCTCGAAGTAGGCGGGGAGGGAACGTCTGCGCAGGCGTGACCCACGCCCCTACACATTCACTGGCCTGAAGTCCCGGTGGAGTAGGTGGAGGTCCCGCCCCTGATCCTGAAGGTTAAACAGCCTTTCCTTGTCTGAGATAACGCCCGGAGCTCTTTGTCCTGCCTCCAAGACGATTAAGGAGGGCAGACACAAAAGGTGAGGTTAGAACGAAAGTTTAATAAGCGAAAAGAAAAAGCTCTCTGCCAGCAGAGATAGGCTCCCGACCCGGAGTACCCACTATGGGGCCCGTTCTGACGACTTTGTGGACTGGAAAGGAGAATGCGCTTAGTCTGCGGGCTGTCTTGGCGAACGCTTGACTGAGCTTGGCCCAGGACCAATCAGGAGCTGAAATGATGATTCATAGATGCGGCTTAGCTTGACCCAGGACCTATCAGAATCTGAAGTGAAAGCTTGGCCCGGACCAATCAGGGGCTGAGGCGATGATTCATAGAAGCTGGGCTTATCGTGCTAATGAAGGAAAGTAGAGCTCCCGCCGGAACCTACCAGAGCCCACCGTGCCCATACCCACAAAGGAGAAGAAACTTTTCCTGGGAACCTGCTGACTATACAAAGGACAAAGGCATTATGTGCCAGGCCTTGTTCCCTTATCTGAGTGAGCTGGAGGTTCTGTGCAAGTTTTTATCCAAACGGCCCGAGGTTTTTCTATCTGTGCAGCCGTGGGCATATCTATAGGCACAACACCCTGTGCTAGTTCCCTTATCGGTGTCTGCAACGTGAATTTTTTCCCAGGCTGCGTTTTATGCTATGTGGAGATGAGACACTGACCCATGGACGGGGGCGGGCTCTCCAGGGACCCTTCCCTTGCTATCTACTTAAGGCAAGCTAGGTAGCTCCTTTCACAGGGTGGTGGGAGAGACCCCTAGAGAGGGCGGAGCTTTAGCAGCGAAACCGAGGTGGAGGGGTAGAGAAGGGGTGGACTTCGCTCCCTGTCAAAAGCCTTATTCAAAAGCCTTATTTCCTATATACACGTAACTTTTATTTAATAAGTCAACATTATGCAATGTTTGTCGCATATAATGTTTTCTTTAAATATTGTAAAACCACAAACCTCATAACTTGTCACCTCTAGTTTCTAATGCATCTCTAAAAATTAGGGACATTTCCCTACATAGCCACAATATTATTAGCACACCCAACTAAGTGTAGGCGCTTCACCTAACACCTAGTTCATGTTTAAATCCCTCCACCCCCCGTTGTTCCACAGATGTCTTTTACACCTGTTTGTACCAACTAGCATCCAATCATAGACCACTCACTGCATGTAGTTAAGTCTTAATCTAGGGCAATTTTACCCTTTGCCTCCCTTCCTCCCATCCCATTGCCTCCCTTCCTCCCATCCCATTGCCTTGTTGAAAAGGAGGCTCTTCCAGTCTTCCTGTAGTGCATCCCCAATTTTTGATTTGACTGTTTCCTCATGGTATCTAAGTTCTTCCTCTGTTTTCTTGTCATCGTACTTGGTTATCCTTTGGGATGTATTTTACAACACAGATGATTTGTGATTTACATGATCTCTTTGTTGCTGTTGCTAATTATACTGATGTGAGATAACGTTCTCACGAATGAAAACATTCTCTTTTATGCTCTTTCTGCCATGTTTTTGTTTCAGTGAAGGACAATGGGGACACATCAAACTCTGCACTGTTTCACTCTTTGCTGTCTGACACCTCATAGACACTTACGGATTAATGAATTCCTTTGTGGATTACAGGCAATGCATAGAAACTTAATCTTGTATTTAGGATGAGCTCTCCCACTTCCTCCAGGAGTATACCTTGTATACATTTTTCAAATTATGGCTTTTATTTTATTGTATTGTAATTATATCCTCATGAGCTATAAACACCTGTGTATTCCCAGCTCTTAGCACAGCTCCATAAATTGATTGTCCAGTGACTGAACTGCTTTTACAAAGGTTAAGCTGTTTCTCCTTTCATGTGTACAGTAACATCTAAACTAAGTGGAAGTCTTTCCAGATTCAGTGCAATAGCCTTCACCCCCTCCACTTTACCCTTTTTTCAACTCTTGCCTCTTCTGCTTCTACTCTTGCTTTCTTCTTCCACTCCTGCCTCTACCCTCATTCCCTCAGCTCATTCTCCATCCAGTAGCAGAGCTTCTCAGTACATAATTCAGCCTTGTCACTTCCTTTCTTAAAGCCTTCAGTGGTTTCTCTATTGCATTTATAAAATCCTAACTCCTATGCCCTACATGATCTGACTCCTGCTTGTCTTGCCAGCCTAATATTTTGCCACTCTTCTCCCACATGACTGTAGACACTCCAGCCTCCTCTCCTGTCTTTGATGGCAGCATGTACTTCCTCAGGGCCTTTGGATAGTCCAGAGTGCTCTTCCCCTCCCTCATCCCTACTCTGTATGGCTCACTTCTTTTGCACTTAAGGGCTCAGCTTAAATGTTACCTCACCTCCCACCACCTCATCTAAATAGGCTACATGTATTTGGTAACTCAGTGCCTCGTTTATTTTCCTCAAAGTAATCATCACAACTCATAATTATTTTATTTGCCTCCTTACTTATTTTTGTTGTTGCTTTTATTTTCAGTTTGTCTTCCCTGTTAAAATATATACTTCAGCAAAACAGGGCCTGGTCCCATCCTTTTCACCATAGTAGCCCTAGTGCCCAGCCAAGTACCTGGTATGTTATGGGTGCTCAATGAACATTTATTGACTAAATGAGCAAGTAAATGGATCAGTTACTAGTAATGAGTCTCTCCTTGTCCCTTGCCTCCTGAGCCTTAGTTGCTGATAAAGTCATAAGTTGAGTCAGCAGTCAACTGCCTTTTATTTTTTTATCCCCCTTTCATGCCCTGGCATGAAACAGTGAGCCTGGTTCCCTACAAGCTGAGACATACCACATTTAATCCTGCAGGAGTTGAATTCTAGGATGTCTTTGACTGTTTGTGCAGTCAAGTCAGTTAGCCCACAGCATCAACTCCACTAACTACTCTGTGTTTCTGTTTCTGGTCCACTGAGATTTTTGTCTTGTATTTGTAGCTGGCCATATCTTTTTCTTTATCCCCTTTTATATATCATCTTCCAATGCCAAATGTTTGGAGTCAATTGGTAATTAGTCATAAATTGGCCTGTTTCATATCACCCTGGAAAAATGAATCCGATTTTTAATGTTGCTTTTGAGCTGTTGTTGGGATGTTCAGGGGGATACCCTTGGTGGGATCTAGAGATGGGCTTTAGTACACAAATGGGAGGTCACCACTGGTCACTGTCTGTCCTGGATTTTCTGGAATATTTCTTCTAGTATTTTCAACTGTCCACTGAGTATTAACACATGACGTCAATATTTTATTTTATTGGGTTTATTTCCTCTATGAATATATTCAATTTACTAATACTACTTTACTAATAATACCTGCTCATTGATATTTATGTAATAATTGCTATGGGCCAGGTGCTGTGCTAAGCTTTTTATATGCATTACCTTGTATAATCACAACACTTATAAGAGGAGTACTATGATCATTACTGCTTAGAGAGGTCACAGGATATGAACATTATTCACTGTACTGCAGTGCTTCACTAAAGATGATTTTAAATAGCTTATTCCATTTAATTTGTCAGATGTCTATCAAGTATTTGTTCCCTGCTAGGATATCAGATGACACCAAATTTGCATTTAATCAAATAAATCAGGTAAACAAAACATTGAAGATGCATTCATAATTTTGTGGCAAGTCCAGACTTGTAAGTCCTCTAGGCATTTTAAAAATAAGAAGTGTCTGTAATCTGTAGCCGTTTGGGAGAGGAGACAGGAAGAGATGGGAGGACTGGGGAACATAGGGTAATGCATATACATCCTGGGAACAGGGGTGGTTTGGGGGACAAGAATAAAGAGTGTATTTTCTCTTCTGTGTTCCCTTCCCTGTCCTTACCATGGCTTGATGAAGTGAAAGGGGATATAGGAGGGGAGAATATATTTATTTGCCTGGAAAACATTTCTGGAGCACTGACAGTGGGCCAGGCACTGTGCTATGCATTAAGGATAAAGACAGTTCACGGTGGCATAAGACCAGGAGGTAAATCCTAAGCACCAATTGTGGGGAGAAGAATACAACTGATGGAGGAATACTCCACCTGTGGCTTTGGGTATGTGAGAGATTGCCTGTAGTGATCCAGAAAACAAAAAACAAAATAAAAAGAGCCAGCTGTATCTCCATGGTTTCTCAATAGCATTAAAGTGCAGAACCCATATTTGCAGAACAATTTTTGACTATAAACCTAAGGCCATGAGAAGCTACATGTTTAATAATAATGGAATCCAATACAAATTCATAATTAGAAACTGTCAGACTTTCAGTCTTCCTGAACTGAAGACTCAACAAACCAAATTACCAGATAATACTGTAAGGAGTAAAAAGATATACATATCGCCTTGGACATTGACAAAGAATAAATGCCATGGTCTTTGTAACTCTTCAAATTCTCAATTCTGTAACATAATTTTATGTGAATATTTTATTAAGGTCTGTCTTTCCCACGGTAAATACCATAAAGGTAGGGACCTTTCCTTTCACCATTTTGAACTAAGCACCTCAACACTATTCCAGACACCTAACAGACACATGATATATGAATGAATGGAATAAATGCATTTTCACCCAATAAAGTGTAACTGAAAAACTTCCAAGTGCTCTCAGACCTTAATGATTCCATTAGCATTGGGCAAAAGTCAGATAAAACTTAAATTACACCACTAAAGTCAACATTGTATCAGTGGAACTACCATTAAACTTCCCAACTTAAAAGGCCACAACGCTGCAACATATTCTTACCATTTCCATCCTGAATCTTACTCAATATTTTTTTAAAGTACAGATCTAACACCATGACAATGAAATAAAAGCCTTGCCTCTCAGTGTTCCATATAGTAAAGTCTAACGTCTCAGCCTAGAGTTGAAGGCCATTTTCTGTCCCCTATAATGCATCTTTTAAACCTCATCTCTCACATTTTTACCCACAACCCATATTCTATAGTTCAGCTTTGCCTGTCCTTATCGCCGTTGTGTGTGCCCTTAAATACCTTTCCTCATGTTGTTTGCTTGATTTATGATGGTGGATCCCTTCCTTTCTCTGCCTGATAAATTCCTGTTCATGATTTTAGCCTAATTCAAATGTACTTGCCCCTAAGTCATATTCTTTCAATGTTCCACACCCAGTCAGAAATTATTTCTTCTATTCATTACTCCCTGAATATTCTGGCGAGGCCTCTATTACAGCATTAATCATCTGATATTATAGCTAGTTTTATATATCCTGTTCTCCTCCTAGATCTACCATATAAACATATTGCCCAGGCCTTTAAATCACTTCTACAGACTGAGTATCCCTTATCCAAAACCCCTGGGATCAGAGTATTTTGGATTTCAGATTTTTCTGGATTTTGGAATATTTGCATTAAACTTAACAGATCCCTAATCTGAAAATCTGAAATATGAAATGCTGCAATGAGCATTTCCTTTTAGCATCATGTCTGTGCTCAAAAAGTAAATATCTCTTGCTTTTTTATTCCACAGTTACCTAATTTTCCTTCCCAGAGGTTCACCCTTCTATATCAGTTATCTGTTGCCATAATAATGTGGTATAATAAATAGCCACAAAACATGAGTGGCATATAGTGATAAACTTATGTATAGCACGTGAGTATATGGGGCATAGCTTACCTAGGGTGGGCAGGCCCTATTTATACATCCGCATTCAGCAGCTCTGCAGACCTCAGGCTAGGCCTGCTCACATGTCTGGCAGTTAGCTGGCTGTCAACTAATCTAGGATGGTCTCATCTACTCCACTGGGGTGATCTGGCTCTGTCCTACATGTCTCTTATCATCTGAAAAAATATCCTTCTTCTGGCAATTTCAGAGGGCAAGAGTAAGCAAACCCAGTTACACAAGTACTGTTCAAACCTCTGCATGCACCACATTTGCTAATATCATTGGCAAAATCAAGTCATATTGTTGAATTCAGTGTCACAATGGAAGGGCACTGCAAAATATTAATATATGGCTACAGGGAAGGGGGAAGACTTGAGGCCATTAACGTACTCTGGAATAACCTTTTCCCAGTTGCTAAACATATGTAAGTCAGTAACCATATATACATTGTATTAACATAAATGATAGAACACCATTCATATTTCCATACTTTGCTTTTTTCCCCACTACTTTATGATTTATTTCCATTAATATATAATGCTCTATCATCAGGTGTCTTCTAAGGAAGATTAAATCAGAAAATTTTAAATCACAGTTATCCTTTCACCTAAAGCCAGAGTAAGCCTTCTAAATTAACCCCAGGAATGGCTTCAACAGAGGAACAGTACGATCTTAAGATTGTGAAAGTGGAGGAAGACCCTACCTGGGATCAAGAAGCCCACCTTCAAGTGAACAACTTTTCTGGCCAAGAAGCCTCCCGACAACTTTTTAGGCAGTTTTGTTACCAAGAGACTCCTGGTCCCCGAGAAGCTCTGAGCCGGCTCCGAGAACTTTGTCGTCAGTGGCTAAGGCCAGAAATCCACACCAAAGAGCAAATCTTGGAGCTGCTGGTGCTGGAGCAGTTCCTGACTATCCTGCCTGAGGAGCTCCAGGCCTGGGTGCGGGAGCACCATCCAGAGAGTGGGGAGGAGGCTGTGGCTGTAGTCGAAGATCTGGAACAAGAGCTTAGTGAGCCAGGGAACCAGGTGAGAGGACAAAGATGGACTTCTAGACATGAAATACTAAATGAAAGGTGGGGTTTGGTGACACAGGTTGGTTGGCTATAGCTATATGTGTTAGTTCTCTGTTGTGTAACAAATTACCCCTAAACCTTAATGGCCAAGACTACAGTCATCTGAAGACAAGATTCAGGTAGGTGGATCCACTTCCGAGATGGTTCACTGGTACAGTTGTTGGTAGGGGGCCTCAGCTACTCACCGGCTATTGGCAGGAGGTCTTAGTTCTTTACCATGTTGGTATTCTTCATGGGGCTGCTTGAGTGCCCTCACAACATGTCAGCTGGCTTCCTCCAGAGGGAAGAAGGAGAGAAAGAGAGAGAAAGGAAAAAGCCACAGTGCTTTTTATGACTCAGAAGTTATATACCATCTCTTCTGCCTCACTTTCTATTCAGTAGAGTTGAGCTATCAAGTATAGCCCACATTCAGGGGGCTGGGGGTGGGCAGTTCGATTCTACCTGGTGGATTTATTTTAAACCACCATACTAAATTGGGCCACTCTTCCCTCTTTTGCTTCTGGGTATGGAATTAAACTCTGGTCCTTCCACTGTGACATCTCTCTAGAAAATGTTTCATATAGTTCCATGTGATATCTTTCATTTCATATTAGCTTGGACTCCTATAATCCCCCTCTTATGAACGAAATGTGCCTACCTGCCTTCAGGCTCTAGACCATGAACATGGACATTCTGAAGTGCTCTCAGAGGAGGTGGAACATCTGAAGGTCAAGCAGGAACCAACAGACATCCAGCTTCAGCCTATGGTGACACAGCTCAAATATGAATCTTTTCGCCTCCACCAATTTCGAGAACAAGGTAAGGATTTTGACAGGTCCTTTCAGGAGATCTCTGGTGGGTCTATATAGGGCAATAGTTAAGACTGTGGACTCGGGGGCTAAATTGCCTGGGTTGGAATTTAAACGCTGCATTTAATAACTCTGTGACAATGGACAAGTCAGGTAACCTCCTGGTGTCTTCAGTTTATGCATATTTTAAGTGGAGATAATCATAGCACGTCAGTCACAGAATCATTTGAGATTTAATAAATTAACATATGTAAAACACTTAGAACAGTGCCTGCCTTGTAATGAATATAATATAGTGCCTGCTTATGTGCATCCTCTCTGGGAGCCTCTGGGTGCTCCCTCCAGCCATTTCAGCAGTGCTGATGACCTTACTCTACTAGCTTAAACATCCCTGTTTAACCCAATCCCCTCCTTAACTGGCAGTTCTTCATTCCTAGAACATGTCTGTTTGATATGGATCTTTCTATTTCCATCCTATGATTGTGTTCTTTCATAAAGGAAAGAGATTACATTGTTTGGTCCACTTATTATTCCAGATGGTGAAAGTATACCTGAGAACCAAGAGTTGGCATCAAAGCAAGAAATCTTAAAAGAAATGGAACATTTGCGGGATAGCAGACTCCAAAGAGACGTATCTTTGGATTCTAAGTACAGAGAAACTTATAAACAAGACAGCAGGGCAGAAAAGCAGCAGGGCCATTCCACTGCAGAGAGACGCCACAGGTGCAATGAATGTGGGAAAAGCTTCACTAAGAGTTCAGTACTCATTGAGCACCAGAGAATCCACACTGGGGAGAAGCCATATGAATGTGAAGAATGTGGGAAGGCCTTCAGCCGGAGGTCAAGCCTGAATGAACATCGGCGGAGCCACACTGGAGAGAAACCCTATCAGTGTAAGGAGTGTGGGAAAGCCTTCAGTGCCAGCAATGGCCTCACTAGACACAGAAGAATCCACACAGGGGAAAAACCATATGAATGCAAAGTGTGTGGAAAGGCTTTCCTTCTCAGCTCATGCCTTGTTCAGCATCAGAGGATACACACTGGAGAGAAGCGCTATCAGTGTCGTGAGTGTGGCAAAGCCTTCATTCAGAATGCAGGGCTTTTCCAGCATCTCCGAGTCCACACTGGTGAGAAACCCTATCAGTGCAGTCAGTGCAGTAAACTCTTTAGTAAGCGGACCCTTCTTAAGAAACATCAGAAAATCCACACTGGAGAGAGAACATGAGTGTGATGAGTTTGGAAAAGCCTTCAGTCATCATTGCAACCTTATTAGGCATTTTAGAATCTGTACTGTTCCAGCAGAACTAGACTAATTCTGTGGACCCTCAGACCCCTAAATGGGGCCATCTTGGAAAGTAAGATTTTCAAGTGGCTTATTCTGTTCATATAAAATTTATTTTGCATTGCAGTGAACCACTTGTCTACAAACCAGGTGTTGGTGCCTCCTGTGTGGATGACTGTGATTGTAGGGGGTTGCTGGGTGGCCTTCTTATTCCCTATCCTTTGGTCCATTTCTAATGATTTCCTTTAAAGGGACCAAATCTTATCTGGAAATAAATTGTTATGGAGGGGCTGTTCTTGAGCAATACTGAGCATTGAACAATTCTAAAAGACCAGTATCTATGTATACTTTTTAAAAAAAGATTGGCTAAGATCAAAGGATATTCAGAGGTGCATCTTTTTCTGTAAGAGTGACATTTTAAACAAACATAAGGTTTTTGGAAATAAGAATTTTCCACATTCCCACAGGAAATCATTGCTATGGTCTCCCCTAGGAATGTGATAGATAGCTTCTGTAAGCAGCATTATCCATGGTATAAAACCTGTAGTTTTAATGGTTTAGAAATCTATGTCTCGGCCAGGTGATTACAGGTGGTGGCTCACGCCTGTAATCCCACCACTTTGGGAGGCCAAGGCCGGCGGATCACGAGGTCAGGAGATTGAGACCATCCTGGCTAACATGGTGAAACCACGTCTGTACTAAACACACACACACACACACACACACACACACACAATTAGCCAGGCGTGGTGGCGGGCACCTGTAGTCCCAGCTACTCCAGAGGCTGAGGCAGGAGAATGGCGTGAACCCGGGAGGGGGAGCTTGCAGTGAACCAAGATCGCGCCACTGCACTCCAGCGTGGGCAACAGAGCGAGACTCCATCTCAAAAAAAAAAATAGAAATCTATGTCTCATTTCATATCTAACTCATGTTTTTGATATGAATCATCCATATATATGTTGATATCATGTTAATGAGTTTGATATGAATCATCAACGTAGTATGTAGCATATACATATCAACATAACTATGTTGATGATTCATATCAAATTCTCAATGCTGGTCATTACTGTATTTAAGTTTTCCATTTTTGTTACAAATAATAAGATGATACTTTAAAATCTCTATTCTTCACAAGGTACCTCTTTAATTCATAGCCTTTTATGTCCGCATTATTCTTTTTTGGGGGGTTGGTCAGAAACTTTGAGTGCCATTGCAAGCAGCATCATTGAAGTAGTTTTATAAAGAAAAGAAGTCTGATATCTTGGGCAGCTTGCTGCTTACTAGGGAGACCAGCATGCTCAGACATTTATTGTCAGGGTTAAACGTATGCTCTGGCACCAAGTTCAAATCCTTCCTCCCCATTTGTGAGCTGTGGGACTTTAGGCAACTTATCTAAATGCTCCTATGCTATAGTCTCCCCATCTGTAAAACAGAGGATGACATCAGTACCTTCCTCATAGGGTACATAAGATTAAATAAATACAAACTTGTACTTAAAATGTAGCTCTCAATAAATGTACATTATGATTTACATAAGAAATAATACCATTTAACAAATGTAGGTAGAATTTTAAGTATCATGTTAAAATTAGGATATGAAATGCCTCTGCTGACATCGTTACTCTTTTCTCCATAGTCAAAACCTAAATCAGAATATTTCAAAAGAGAGGAAATAAAAGTTGAGCTTAAAACTGTTCTGCCCTAAACCTTTGTCTTTGAAGTTTATTTTTAAAATACACATATACATATATATGTGTATTTTTTTTCCTCATGGCTTAGGAACCATAAACGATTCTTTAAAAGTTACTTACTATTTTATTTGTCAAAGAACAATTAGCAATTAGTTGAATTCAGATTTTCTGGAATAGCGTTTATGAAATTGTATAATACCTACAAATCACTTGAGATCTTGTTAAAATGCAGATTCCTAATTCAAAAGGTCAGAAGGGGGCCCAGGAACCTACCTTTTAAATGAGCAATGCACTCCTAGGTGCCTCAGATGCTGCTGGTTCATGGAGTGCACTTTGAGTATCAAGGTCCCAGACTACCCTGAGGATTAGTATGGTCCTTTTAATATGCTAGAGGCATCAAGCAAATAATAGCTTCTTTTCCATCCTTCCACTTGCAACCTCTACATCAGTAGGTAGTCCCTAAACCTGTGCTCCCCTCACTGACCTACTGCCTGTCCCACCCTAAGAGGACTGAGATGCCTGTGAAGTGCAATGGGCAAGTGAGTTGAGTTTGTAGAGCAAGGCAGCGTCCTCTGCTCTGGAATAGGCAAATAGAGCTAAATGTTTATCCAGGCAATCTAAACAGGACCCATAAATGTTTACTTTAGGAAAAAGCTACTTCTACAGAGTTTCTGCTCCTCTTGCATGAGCTCGCAGGGCGAAAGGAAAGGGGCTGTTTGTTGCATGTTTACCAGCACCATGCAGACCTGCCAGTCCACACCCCCAGTCCTCTCTTGGGCTCTCTGAACTGCCTGGGTCAAAGGAACAAGGTCCCAGCTGAGGTTTCCTCATATATGGTGCTATGGCATGCCACACTTACCTTCAACACTGAAGCCTGGCGTGGTCCTTCTGTGACTCCAACCCCAGTGCTCAGACAGTCCCTTTCTCTCTCACCTACTCAGAAAAGCAAAGTAAAGCTCACAGAGGAAAAAGCCACAAAATGGAAGACAAAAGGGTGAAGGAGGAACATTTAGGGAATGAGGGACATCCCAAATGAGTAAGAGAGGAGGAGGGGAGAGATAGAGATGTAAAAAGGGCCCAAATGGGCATGCCTGTAGTAAAGAGAAAATTGAAGGGAGAATTTGGGAATGTTTGGGTTTTGTTTGTTTGTTTGTTTTTTCTTGTTGTTGTTGTTTTCCAGATTCTCTTTCACTGATCGGGTCCAAAGTGTTGTAGTAGTTGATGCCACTACTTCCTGCATTTGGCCTCATTAACAGTAACAAGAAGGATTTTCAGTGCCCCTATAATTAGAGGAGCACCAAGAGACCTAAAGAAGGGAGGCTCAGACTGTGGATGGGGGCACTCTGTCAATCAGCAAACATCCATGGGGCACTTGTTAGGCCAGTGGGTACCACTGTAGGAACTTGGGATACATCAGCAGAGCCGACAAAGGTTCCTGCCCTAACAAAGTTTACATTCTAGCAGGAGAGAAAAATAATAGACAATAATCATAGTAACTATGTAGTATATTAGAAGGTGATAAAGTACTTTTGAAACAGAAGAAAGTGGAGCAGTGTAAGGAGGAGTAAGATTTCATTATATGGTGCAGGCGGGGTCAGGGATGCTTCATTGAGGAGGAGACATTTAAACTAAGATGAAGAGGTGAAGTGGGGGTCAGCTCGATGCTATAGAAGAAGGATGTTCCAGGAAGAGGTGAGCCAGTGCAAAGGCTAAGGTATGGAATAAAAATAGTTTTCCCACTGAGGTTGTCAACAGGTTCTCACAATCAACCTAGAAGAGGAAGGCACAGGTGTTTGCCATACGTATGTATTGTGTAAACTGAGCACAGTGAAGTAAAAGTGATTGCTCAATGTCACATGCCTGTGAGGTGGCAAAGGTCTGCATTGAAGACTCAATGATTCCCCATCTAGTGTTCTTTTGTTGGAATTTTGTTTTCCAATCTGGGTAATTATTATGCTTTTTTTCCTTTTGTGGAAGCCAAACGTGATGCCACATAAACAGGTATTGAGTAATTATTTTGAATGAGTAACTGTGCCCTGAAAGCACTGGAGGGAGGGGGTGCGGGGGATAACCTGTTGGTATACAAGAGGAAGAAACGAATAGAATTCTGGTAGGTCAGGTGCATTAATGCAGGTCAGGTGTGAGAGGCTGGGCAGTGATTGGGAAAGTGCAGCATCATGGGAAGGAAGGGCTGGGAAAGTGAAGATACGGTTAAGTTTGCTGCTTGGTAGCATAGCATAGCTGTAGTTTGTTACTATCTAGCTGTGTGACTGTGCACAAGTTACTTCACCTCTCTGTGCTCTTGTGGAAAGACATGAAGGTTAGGTGGGTGAGGAGAGAAATCTCAGGAGGTAAAGCAATACAGGTAAAGCATGTAAATCCATTTGTGGGGCAAGTGGTGTATGGGGGTGGGATGGGATCCAGAGTGGTTAGGAATTGGAAAAGAACTAAGCAGAAGGTCCCAGGATGTTTGGGGAGTAAGGAAAAGAGTCTCCCACTTGCCTCTTTGCCCTAGATGGGCTCAAAGTGAGGAAGTTAATGATATGAAATATTCTCCAAGCCACCTAAGGAGGCAGCAGAAGGTGGGTCAGTGGTGCAGGACTTGCCCAGGTATCAAGTTGCCCAAGGGCTTTGGAAGAGTCTCTGTTAAAGATTGGCTCGGCTCAGGGTGAGTCCCGTGGTGAGTGGGGTTATGAGTCCTAGGGTGAGTAGGGTGATGCAGGGTGGGGATGCACATTGGGCTCCAGGCTAAAGCCCAGGAGTGACTGGAGGTGTATGGTGCAAGGGGTGCCAAGAACTGTGGTTGGATAAATGCCAGCATTTTAGGAATAAATATAACAATGATAATAGATACTTCTGAAACACCTGGCACTGTTCTAGTTGCTTGACATGTATTAATTCATTTAATCCCCAAACATGATCTAAATGTGTAGTCAACTCCATTTTAAAGAGGGGGAAACTGAGGCACAAGGAGGTTAAGTCACTTACCCAAGGTCACACAGCTTGTAGGCAGCCGAGGCACGAGGCACCCTGCTATATAGGTAATGTTTCTTGTAATATATTAAAAGTTTATTTTAATACATTAAAAGAAACTTTTTCTTATCATCTATGTGGTTACGAAGTTGTACAGTTCATGTGGAAAAGGCAGGATAAATACTTGTTTCCCTTTACTTATGTGTTTTCAAAATACTTGGCTCTCTAGCATTCTCCAATGGTGACCAATTTTTTTTTTTTTAAGAATAATTACAGACTCAGGGATATAAACATACTTGAAGTGTTTCAACTCTTTGCTGTCATTATCTTTACTGGGGCTCAAATTTTCCTATCTTCAAGTGGGAAGGTCTTCAACTTGGCACCTGAGTACTTCTGACTCAAGACCCTTGCTTTATGATACGACAAGATGTTTCAGTCTCATGCCATACATTTCTTGCCTCCGATCTGGATTCAGCCATTTCTCCCAGGAATCCTGATTTCTTTATGGGGATATGGAATTTCAAGATGACAAACTGAATGCTAGCAACGGCTCACTGCTTAGCTGGTTATTGTTTCCAAGCCTTTTCAATAGCAAGACCTAGGAGATATATATCTGTGTATGCCTGTTTGTTTTTCTTTCTAATTCAGAGTTACAGAGTTTTTACTTCTCTTTACATTTGTATCTCCTCTTGTATTATTATCATCTATTGCTGTATAATGAATTAACTAAAACTTAGTAGTTTAAAACAATGCACATTATCCTTTCCAAGGGTCAGAAATCCAGGTATGGCTCAGCAGGGTCCTAAGCTTCAGAGTCTCTGAAGACTGAAATCAAGGTGTTGGTCAGAGTTGGCATCTCATCTGAAGGCTTAACTGGGGAGAGATCAGCTCTAAGTTCACATGATTGTTGTCAGAAATCAACAAACCCTTTGAGGGTTTGTGGACTGAGGGCCTCAGTTACATGCTGGCTGTTGGCAATAGGCAATCCTCAGTTC